CACACACACACACACACACACACACACACACACACACCACAACACAGACTATATCACCCCTTGCTGCTAAATACCAACAAAATATGTGCAATATATAAATGCCGTTAATAACTGTGTAATAAATACCTGGCTGCTAAATCCTTAGAACTGTTACAAGGTGTGTATTTTGTAAATTGTAAATTGTGTAACTTGCTGCTGTTAAATACCAACCACCTATGTGCAATATGTGCTGGATGTGCAATATATATAGATGCCGTTAATAACTGTGTAATATATACCTGGCTGCTAAATCCTAAGAACTGTTACAGGATGTCTATTTTTTTAAATTATGTAATTATATTTTTTATTATATCATAACTTAGTACTTTTTTTTAAATGCATGTCACATATTTAACATTATGTAACATTAAGCTGTCTGTGGCTCTTTTTCCTGCTGTAACTACGCACATTTCCCCTCCGTGGGACTAATAAAGGTATTCTGATTCGTTTTACAAAAAAGGTTTTTATTTTAGTTTTCTAGGTCAAAGTGAAACCCACATTTCTTTAAAATCACTACACAATGCAGCTGAATACTGAAATTAAGAGAGTGAAACAGCAAATAATTCTAAATATGTCATTTGCTGCACTTACCTTCATGTTCTTTCCTTTAGAGGTCATTTGTGAAAGAAAAGAAAACTTAAACAAAGCACAATCAAAACAACAAAATAAAATAAAACGCTAAACCCAAGACCACTGAGTAGACTCTTCATTCTCTCCAACGCTACATCGGATATTTAAAAAAAAATAATCCTCATTTAGGTTCATTTCATTAAGGAAAAAAAGAAAATATCTCCAAAAATCACATTATTTACTCCTGTAGTAAATACATATTTTTGCACATTTGACCAAAATCGGAGCAAAGATTTCTGCTTCATCCCCAAATATAATGGAGGTGATTGAATTTAGTTTTTGGCTTTTACAAAATGTACAGGAATCCGAGATGCTGTATCTTAAATGTTGGACTATTAAAAGCAAAAGTATTTATCCCACCAGAGATAGAAAGTAATATGTGTTTGTCATTTGGGTGAACTGGCCCTTTAAGGTGAAAATGAGAGCAGTCTACTCAAATGTCTTGGTGGTCTCACTCTAGTCACTTTAGGCCCCGTTTACATGGAGACGGTTCGGGTTGTATCTGCTACTTTTTTCTATCGTTCGTTCACACGAGGCCGTAAAGGAACCGCGGAAACGGACCCTTCAAACGATAACGGGTCCCAAGGTGGGTAGATCTGCGGACGGAACGCTCTGGGTGGCCAAACGGCTCCGTGTGTACGCCCGATACGCCATAGCCCCGCCTCTCCCCGTGTCACCCCCGTGTCGACCCGCGCATTGCTGATGTGTTTCGCCAACAACAACAACAACGCAAGTGTTTCGAGCCATGTCCCGGTATCTCGCAGGACAGTGCACCCAGCAGGAGCCTCCAGCTAGATCTGATCGATATGGACATAAACGCGAGTGAAGTCTAATCGGACAGGAGAAAGAGATCAGATCAGCTGCTGCTGACGGAGACACGCAGCTCTGCATGATCAACTGCAGCTCCGCCCGCTGTGATGAATTTATTTGAATTACCTCTCAAACTACCTAAACTAGTTATAAATATGTTTATTTTTACTGTCGGGTCACTCATTACTGGATCAGCCAGCTGCATGATATTGGCATAATAGATTGCCCGATCGGGCAACCAGCAGGTGAGGCTTCATTGCCCGAGCTAAATACTAGATGGCCCCGGGCCATCGGGCAGTCCTTAATGTCGAGCCCTGAGTGTCTGTTGTTCACTGAGTTGATTCTCGCTAAGTAACCAACATAAGGCTTAGTCATCTTGCCAAATAGTGAGCCTGTGTTGATTTATGAAAACTATGTTAGAACTGGTTTATAAATGGTTCTTAATTATTAATAAAGTGTTTACAACCTAATTAATAACCTAATTATAAACCCTTTATGAATCCTTTATAAGGGTAGTCTTATTGTAAAGTGGTACCGATAAAGCTTATTCTTATTATTATTAATATTAACACATTATTATTAATGTTTAATATTATTTTTGTAAAACACTTTGAATGGCCTTGGGATAAAAGCAGAGGTTGGGAAGTACTCAGATGTTGTACTTAAATAAAAGTAGGAGTACCAGAGTGTACAAGTATAAGTCCTGCAATCAACTCAATCAAGTA